TTTCATCTTTCATCTGCCTGTGTGCAGTTTGGGGGTGCAAGATGCCTGAGCGTGTAATGTTAATTTTGCCTGTGTTCATGGAATAAATCAGCACTGTTTTGTAGTTATTTGGACTGCCTCGTCTCTCAGAGTCAGTATGGTAAAAAGTACTGGGTACAACAATGGTCACCAGGTCATTCAGGTTAACTGAGACAAACTCATCAAAACAAACATGATATATAAATGCTGTAAAATTTAAGGATGACTGGGGATCAACAGAGAAACTGATTTCAAAATAAATATGGTCTTATTTAATTGTGGTGTTTGTCTCTGCAAGTTTTACACCTAGAAAAATTATTTAGAGAGCAACAATTTGTCTGTGTGCTGCTGTTCTGTCTTGTACAATTGTACTGAGCATGCCTGTTGCTGACCTGTTTCCTGTCCCTGTCTTTGTCTCTGCCAAGCCCTTGGCGAGTTAGCCAGTTTACCTGTGTGGACACTATTTTCTGGCATTGCTTTCTATTGCCTAATTTTGCTCTCAGCTGTGCCTTTTGTGTTTTTGTTGCAGCGGTCCCCTTTGTATTTTTGAGCTCAGTGTATGTTACATGGCCTCTCCTAATTTTTCTCCTTTGAGTTGTTTTGCCCTGATTGTTTCTCTGCTATCTGTGCTGTCCTCCAGCTTTTCCCAAAGCCACTGGTTCTCCTCTTAGGACCCTGTCTGATGGTCCGCCATCATCTGACATTGACCACCCTTTACTTGCCACTCCATTGTTGTCAGTCTCCTGGGTCCCACTTTTCTCCCACACCACTCTAGGTGTGTCTGATCTTGTCTGTTCACTGAAGCTAAGCAGGGCTGGGCCTGGTCAGTACCTAGACGGGAGGCTACCTACAAAAACCAAGCGCTGTAGGCTGGAGCTCCCTCTGCTAGTGAATCAAGAGCTCTACTCATCTGCTCTGTTTCATTAGTATCCTGATATTAAACCTAAAGTACTGTCCCTCTCTGGTATCGGCATTTGGCTCCTCTCACCCCCCTTCCTGACAGGTGCAAGATGGTGAAAACACAACTCAGTGAGCTGTAGGCTACAAGAAAAATTCAAGTCACTTCAGTTTATTTGTATAGTGCCAATTCACAACAATAATTGTCTCAGGGCACTTTACGTTACACTATTATAAGGAAAAGCCCCAAATTAAGCAACACCATTTTCCAGACTTAACCTACCCTTAACACAAAGCATTCCTGAACCATATTCTCACCCAAGCAAAGGGCAAATATGTGGCTTGACAAGATGGATGACAACTGTACACACATCGCTGTAATTTTCAGAAAGACAGGACCACTACATCTAATCATTTCAAAATGTGAATCCTCACATCAACTTGAAAGATCCAAATGGTAGAAAAAACATACCTACTCACCCTTTCTGCAGTCAGAAACCATAGTCTGGTAATTGTATCAAAGTCCAAGTACAAGTTCGGAAAGCCATAAAGAATATCAAAAACACCTCTTTCAAACTTTTAAAGGCTCACGCCTACGTTGGTGTCTAAACAGCATTGGTGGCGCAATAGGCGTACTGTTGTCAAATTAGCCCAAAAGACTGGATATGGATGCCACATCAAAAGCCTATTCATTGCAGTGCTTTTTCAAAGTAGCACAGTCACATGGATCGAGCTGACACTTCGTGTAGCCAACGTGTAAACAAAGGTATTTATCGATACAAAATATAGGGGTTCTTATTGCTGTACTGTATGCATAAACAACCATTTTCTTGCTACATTATAAAAACTATGCAAGAATATTTTCCAAAGATGTATTTATCTATTTTCAAATCTAAAAACAGCCCCCACTGGAAATCCAGAACAGTGTTGGAGAACTTTAGCCTCACCTGGTGAGGTAGAAAACCCAAAGTGGTTTCTCTGGTTCAATCCTCCGGGGCAAGAGGTGATCCAGCTTCATGCCATCCTGTGGGATGCCCACTGCACTGTTAATGGACAATGGCTCAGCAATCCAGCGGCTGTGGGCGTGAACAATCACCAGGCCCAAAGACTGCACACACAGCAGAGAAGAGAAATCACATTTGTGATCAATGAAAACAAAAAAATGAATAAGTCATGCTAGGTGTTACCATAATTATTTTGACTCTCTGAGTAACAGGGTTGGGTTTGCTGTCCTCTTCCTCTATTACTCTGGAGAAGTGGCTCAGCTGCCAGATGGGATGGCCCTCCTGACTTTCACGGGACAACTAAAAGAAAAGCCACAACACAGTACATCAAACTGACATTAAGACATACATGTACACACATACAGTGACACACTGAACCCTTACCTCCAGCACCAGTGACACACATGCAGGGAAGAAAGTCATGAACACAAAGTAGTTGGCCAAGATAGACATGCAGCCAAAACAGCACACGATTTCCAATTGTCGCACACCTGAACGATACAAGACAGATACACTTACAAGAACAACTCACATGAGAAGTGGCCACAATCAGAATGCCAGCTTTCTTCTTCTGTTCTATTTGCACACAGTAGAAAACTGCTTAAAGAACTGTTCATCTTTCATTTTGTCTTGATTAACAAACAGCAAAATAGCCTATCATCTGCTAAGGTTTATAGTTAAATGAATGAAGTGTTTTTTCAAGTAATATGCTTGGTGACCATAAGGTATGACTAAAATTGCTTTGCTGTTTGATATACGAGTCATATACAGTATATGAGACATAAATGTGTGTTCAAAAGGACCCTATTTGACAATATGACAAGCATTTTCTTTGAAGCACATTGACTGGTACATGACTACAGCTAGATACAACTAGGGCCAAATCAGAAGCAGAAAGGTCTGACTTTTTATCAATGTTTCCACATTCACAGACCTCAATAAACGTTTTTGCTTTTTATTTTTGCCCTTTCATCAAGTAACTATCTTGATCTTGTTCAATTTAAATGAGGCTTCGTTTAAATTAGCTTGTCTTGGAAACTGAGTGATATCAGGTCAAGGATCTAAGATGCAGATAAAATACACAAGCCCTCACTCCACAAACCATAGGCCTCATTCAAGACATAAATGAAACCAAGTACCTGACATGGTTCCCACTCCAATCACTAAGCACTCCACCAGGGCATCCAAAGTGAAGGTAGGTCCTAGTACTCCCATGCCATAAGCAATGTTGTCCCTCACTTCATCCTAAAAAAAATTTGAGTAAAATATGCCAGTGAAGGCAAGTGCTGAAGATCATGTGGAAAATTGCAATATAATAGATTGAATGAGGGGAGTATTTCTCTGTACCTGAGAAATGGAGCTTAAGGCAAACTTGGCAAGAGCACATGCTTTGGAGAGGTCAATGAGAAGCAGAAAGAAAGGCAAAGCCTCACTGAAGGACAGAAAAGTACAATTAGGTGGCTGTTGTATTATGTACTCTCTTTATGCAGATTATTTAAATTAGTCCTTGTTATTTTAATCACATCATTGTTAGAACACATTCAATTAAAGTTTATGTAACCACACATTTTTAACCAGACAAAGAGTTGAACTCATTTAAACCTGTATACTGGCTCATGGGCTGATGTCCAGTTAAAATGTTATCGAAAGAATTGGGTATCCTTTTTTTACGAGAAGCTGTCAAGTCCGAGTAGTGTAGCACATGATGTATAGGGAACAGATGTACTGGAGCACGAGAATCATTTTTCACACCATGATTTTGGAAAATTGCATAAGGGTCTGATATAACCATATTACAAAAAGTCTTTTCTGAGGAAAAGTTTACTTGTAACAAAAATTGTGAAAGAGATGGGAATTGTCCATATACTGTTGTAGTTCAGATTTCAAATCAGTCACTTTGCAAACCCACTCAGCTTCTTATTATGCATGTTTTGTTATTTCTTTTAAGACCCACTCCACTCAAAAATGTTTTATCTTTATACCCCATAAATATCATACCTCCACTAAACTGACTGTTGTAGGTACACAGTTTGCTGCTAACAGGTTTTTTTTTTACATTCCACCCTCTAGTACTTGTAAAAGCTGTCAGATAATACGCACCAATACCACTTAACAGTAGCATTACATTAACCTCATGCTGGATGAGCCGATCATTAGGCAGTGGAGAAGAAACTTCAGTGGTTTGTAGATATTTTAAGATTAGTGATGACGACAATAGTAAAGCTGACTGTGAGCTGTAATTCTCTGCTCTGCTGTGTGTGCGTCTGTGAGCACCCCTCTCTCCCTCCCTGCCTCACAGACACAAGGTTGCATTTTACAAAACCTTTCACAGTGCTTGCATGTTGTTGTCTTTTACTGCACATGATCATTCATACTCACAAAGTAGAACTGAAGTAACATTCATTGATTAGATAAAAATTTTCAAAATGCATCTACATTGTTTTGCATTTTGTGACTTTCAGTCAAATAAGACTATTTCCAGTCATATATTTTGATCATTGAAAATTTCTTAAAAATAATGTTAAAATATCACCTCCTCTCATTCTCATGAACACAATATTGTCTTGTCAGCTAATTATAATGTCACACCCCTAGTTATCAGTCCTTTCATCTTCATAATGTTCTAGAGGGATAATTTACAATAGGGTTTCCTGTGAACATATGACTGACCAGCAGCTCCCAAGAGCTCCCAAACTAAAGTTTGTTGCTCTTGAAATATTTTATAGGTGTCAGGATTAAAGTTTGAATAAAAATGAATGTTTCTCTCTAAATTTTAAGCATAAGCATAAACTTTATTGCCAAGTATTTAAAAAATACAAGGAATTTGACTCCAGCTCAATGTCCCCCGATGTGCACATCATAAAAACAAAATAAATAAGAGAATAAATAAATAAATACAAAAATATATACAAGTTAACCCGGTTCCGGATAAGCGGAGGAAAACGGATGGATAGATATACAAGTTAAAAGAGCAACATGAACTAGCTGTTCATGAGTTTAATAGCCTGGGGAAAGAAACTGTGTCTGTGCCTGGTTGTCTTGGCAAACAGTGACCTGTAACGCTGCCCAGAGGGGAGGAGTTCAAAAGGTTTGTGTCCAGGGTGTGAGGGGTCAGCAGAGATCCTCTCTGCCCTCCTTCTGACTCGTAAGGTGTACGAGTCCTCCATGGAGGGCAGACTGGCACCGATGATTTTCTCTGCAGTCTTGACTGTCTGCTGGAGTCTGTTCCTGTCCTGTTTGGTTGCTGAGCCAAACCAGACAGTGATGGAAGAGCAGAGAATAGACTTGATGATTCCCCTATTGAATTGAATCAACAGCTCCTGAGGCAGGTTGAACTTCCTGAGCTGATGCAGGAAGTGCATCCTCTGCTGAGTCTTCTTGGTGATGGTGCTGATATTAGTTGTTCACTTCAAGTCCCAAGAAATTGTGGAGCCCAGGAACCTGTAGGACTCCACGACTGAAACAGTCCTGCTGAGTATAGTGAGCGGAGATAGGGTGGGGGAGCTCCTCCTAAAATCCACTATCATCTCCACTCTCTTCTGTGTGTTCAGCTCCAGGTTGGTACAACCACATCACAGAGCCAGCTGTTCAACCTCCCATCTGGAGTCTGACTTGTCACCATCTTGAATGAGGCCGATGACTGTTGTGTCATCTACAAACGTCAGCATTTTTACAGAAGGGTCTCCTGAGGTGCAGTCATTGGTATAGAGGGAGAACAACAGTGGGGAGAGCACACATCCTTGGGGAGCACCAGTGCTGATAGTCTGGGTGCTGGATGTGGTTTTCCCAGCCTCACCTGTTGCTTCCTGTCCATCAGAAAGCTGATGATCCACTGACAGGTGGGGGCAGGCACAGTGAGCTGTGTAAGTTTGGAGTAGAGGATGTCTGGGATGATGGTGTTAAATGCCGAAATGAAGTCCACAAATAGGATCCAAGCATAGGTCCCTGGTGAGTCAAGGTGTTGCAGGATGTAATGCAGTGCCATGTTGACTCCATCATCCACTGATCTATTTGTTCAATAAGCAAACTGCAGGGAATCCAGGTCTGTGATTGCTTTCAGGTGTGCCAATACCAGTCTCTCAAAACACTTCATGACTACAGATGTCAGGGTGACAGGTCTGTAGCCATTCAGTTCCCTGATGCAGTTTTTCTTGGGAACTGGGATGATGGTGGAGCGTTTAAAACAGGAGGGAACCGCACAAAGCTCTAGTGATCTATTGAAGATTTGCGTGAAGATGTGAGCCAACTGGTCAGCGCAGACAGGAGGGGGTCACATTGTCTGGGCCTGGCGCCTTACTGATCTTTTGTTTCCTAAAAAGGCAACACACATCTCTTTCACATATCCTCAGAGGTGGTGGGCTGATGGGGGAAAGGTAGCCCTAGAGGAAGCAGCTACTGGTTGTGGGTCCAAGATGAGGAGAGAGAGGGGTGTAGAGTTTTGCCTTTCAAAACTGCAATAGACTCATTCAGCTCATCAGCCAGCTGATGGCTCTCCGCTGCAGGGTGGGGTGGTCTCCTGTACCCAGTGATGTTCTGTAGGCTTCTCCACACTGACAATGGTTCATTGGCCCGACACTGATTTTTCAGACTTTCCAAGTAGTTCCTCTTTGCTACTCTGATCTCCTTTGTCAGTGTGTTTCTATCGTGTCCCCACTGTGGCTGTTGCTCAGGAGGTAGAGCGGGTCGTTTCCTAACCGGAGGATTAGTGGTTTGATTCCTGGCTTGTCCAGTCAACATGTCAAAGTGTCCTTGAGCAAGACATTGAACCCCCAGTTGCTCCCGGTGACAACACTGGTGTGTCAACATTTGAGTGTGAATGGGTGAATGGCCAAATAGTGTAAAAGCGCTTTGAATGTGCTGTAAAGCACTATACAAGTATAACACAATTTACAACTCCTGTAGGCCTCCTCTTTGGCATGACGGAGCTGTTTGAGCTTCACTGTGAACCAAGGTTTATTGATATTGTATGTGCAGAGTCTTAATGGGCACACACATGTCCTCATAGAAACTGATTTATGATGTCATGCCTATGGCCAATAGCATTAAGGTACGTGTAAGTCCAACCTTTGACCGGGACAGTTCCCGCCCATGAAGATAAATGGAACAACAATGGTCCGACGCTCATTGATGACAGAGTTCCTGCAGAAACTCTGATTCTCTGAGCCCAGCGCTGTAATGGCTTCACAGTGCAGAAAACCGACATGAACAAAAACAAAAACACATGGGAGCACACATCTGAGGCAGCCCTGGTCGGCTCCATGACATTATAATCAACACCACTGTTATTAATATGGATTAAATAATTCACATAACTTAAGCTTAGGAAATGAGACTGTTTCTCATCCTAGATAAGGTTTGGTGTAGGATTTTTCTCTCTCTAAATGTTTTAAAGGTGTAATGATTAAAAGAGAATTAAACAATTCAAATTACAGATAAAAACAAATTCCTACAATTAATTTTGTCCTCTTTATTAACTGAGATGGATAGTTTAAAAAATAAAACACACTACTTCATTTCTCTTTTCTGGAACAACATTTTAACAGGCACACATACTTTTAAAGCTTAACACTTCATTATAGAATATCGTTCAAAATGAATGAATTGTTCATAAACAACACAACACTAGTCTCAGTCAGGTCAAAAACATAGTGTCTCTTTCATGTCAAACTTTTATCACATGAGTGGGAAACAACTCAGTTATGTTCTGGAAATATATTATAAGATCAGTGAAAGAATAGTTAAAGTAGTTTAAAGTCTTCTAAAATTCAATAAAAATTTAATTTCAAAAAAGTTACTCTGGTTTTATCATTCTGAAGTTTTAGAAGAATTACAGACTATTTGGAGTTATGATGGATGGTTGCAAAGCTAATCTAGAGGTACCCAAGATTAAACATTAAATGGCTGGAAATGAGCAAAATAAGCTTGACATGGGGACTTTATTTTTATATGCAACTATAAATATTAAAATGTCTCTGGAGTGGGACAATTATTTTGCATGTAAAGAATAAAAATCTACAAAATAGATGCCATTCTGGCTTGATTATCATTTTTCCATGACAGCTTTTAACAGTGATACTGTACAAAGAAAGAAAAGCATGCAGTGTGTGTTCTCACTTGAGGCCTGTGAGTTCTCTATCAAGAAAGTGAATCACCACTGTGCTAAATACGAAGCTGGAGAATATGGTGAAAAGGCCAGCAATGCCTGCAGGAGAAAAGTGGTATGAGATGCATTTTAGTCATATTTAACTAGTTAGGTCAAAATATTTACTCCCTCTACAGCCTTTAGACATCAAAACATAATATGTACCAATCAATAATTTACCTAAAATATATTTAGATCCCAACTGTCTCAAGTTCTGAAACTGGAAGTAAATATAGATGACAGCGATGCAACGTGTAATGGTGAGGATGATGATATCACTACTCAGAATTTGCTACAAAAAAAGAAGACAACTGATCAGTGGCAAGGTCACATAATTTCATTTGAAATTTTCTGGTTCAATAAGAAATAATATAATACTTAACTTGATTAGGATATATGCTTAGTCACCATCTTGCTGACAGATTGATAGCACTCCCATGTCTGATCATCAGGTCACTATTGTGTCTCATAACCTCATTGACTCACCTCCTCTGTTTTGGGGCAATCAAAGTTCCAGCCGCAGATCTGGTCATTGCCAGTGAACATGTTCATGGACAGCATACAGATGGTGAGTGTGACTGTTCCAACAATCACTTCCCAGGGGTGGGACGCCACCAGGTGGCCATGCATACAGAACAGATGGTTCAGCATTTTGCAAGAGAACTAGAAAACAACACAAGTACACTTATTTAACCTGGTAGAAGCTGGAAGCTGGACTGTACACTTTTAAAAGGATGTCATTAATTGACCGATGAGTCATTAAAGGAACAACAAAAAACAAATTTATTCACAA